ATTAAAATACCCAAGGTTAAGTGTCAGAGAGTTCCAGAAACTACATAATTGTGAATTTGGTTTTGATTTTAAAAAAGACTATTTTGATGGTATAGTTTTTTTGATTTGAAACTTACCAAAAATTTAAAAGTACTGCTAAGTTAATAGTAACTTTTGTTTTCCCATCTAATTACAATTATTTACCTAAACCTTGCCAGTCTTTTTCTCAGTCTTTTGACTACTTCTTGTCTCTAACTTGTATTCTTTGGCAGAGAATTGCTTATCATATTTGTAATCTGATCACATACACCAGGGCAGAAAAATAATTCTTATCCCTTTGCTTACATTCTACCATACTCTGATTGCTGTTAAGTAGTAAAGGCCATATCTGACCTCAGCGAAGGTTGGAAAAGTTTAGTTAGCATTTGCTAGCAAAAACAGCTGTGCAGGATTCTCATGCTGGTGTCTTAGGAACTGGTCCAGTATGAAGTTCAGCTGTAGGTTCATTTATACCCTTAGGCTGAGGGTATATTCAAACCGACAGTGCCTGGCTTCCAGGAGAGTGCCTGCAGAGTGAGGTTAGGCTTCTTGGCAGCCAGGAAGTGATGGTACCTGCTCCGCTTGGCTGTAGTAAACAGTCTGGCCAAAGCAGTGCTGTTTCCCTTCATTGTCCTGGGATGGCCAGAGTTCCGTTGACCCTGCTGGTGTTTACCAATTGTCTATTGCTCGGGTTGTGGAATGTAAAGAAAAATAGTAAGGACACAGTATTCACTTGTATGTAGACACAGATGAATGTAAATAGATTTTAGAGTAATAAAACAATAAATACCCTTCAGGTAATGAACATGGCATATGATCAAGGATACTTCATTAATCAAACTTGATTGTTTGAAAGGAAAGGCAATTTTGATCCTAATGAGATTAAATTTAAAGTGGGCATTTGCTTCAAAGCAGAGATTAAGACCTTGGATTTAATCATAGACAGCGAATTTTCAGGACCTGTTCTTCCTTTAGCTGAAGCCAGAGGCAAAATTTCCATTGAAGCCAAAGAGAGCAAAAGAATGTGTGCTCCAGACTGGAAAGTGACTCATACTTAAATTATGAACTGCTTAGTGGAAGGTTCCATATATCTGGTGTCTATATTTGGATGACAGTTCATCACAAGCTATTCAAACATGTTCTGCTTCAGCTTCTCAAGAAAACCATTTATGTTTACTGTCCCAGGTCCAAACCAAAGCCAGTCAGTAAGATTTTTTTGGATTGATTTTATTAGGCCAGGGATCTAAGTCTCCCATTTCCAGGTGTTTTTTTTAAGATACAGATTGATCTTCTTTGACAGTGTGCTCAGGTCTTCTGTAGCATTTGTGTGCAACAGAGAAATTTTCTGTGACTTTTTTTTGTCATTGATGCTTTCTGGAGCTGACTTACCCTTCAGCCTAATGCACGGAAGGAAAGTGCGAACAAAACTGAGGGAGCTAGGTTGTGATATTGAGAGTTGCCCCGTCAGAAATCTGGCTTAAAAGCAAGTCATAAGTTGTCACCACTTTTCTTCTTTGGAACAGGAGAGATGAAAATACAATATCTGTATTGTGTGGGGCCGTACTTGGTAGAAGAGAAGGCTTATGGGACAAGACTAATATGAAATGCAAATTAAAGTAATTAAGAACTTTATGGGAGAAACTACTGTTCTGATGAAACTGTACTGCTTCATATGCGCCAAAAAAAACATTCTTCCTCCCCTCTTCCCACCTCAAAATTCCTTTAAGTTGTAGAAAAGTGTAGTCATTGGCTTTTGATGCAAATGATTTTTGGCTGTTTACTACATAGCTCTTCTTTATTGGCATTGATTTTGAAAGGCAAATTAAATACTTCTGAAGTAATTATTTTCTCTTAAGACTGTTAGGATGGGTTTACTTTTGGATCTTTCTTGTTTCTTTCTGGTTCAATATTAATAGTTTCACAAATGGTAATAGAGGTCAGCTTCTGAGACCTGTTTTTCTTGCACTCTGCTTGAGGATGTAGTGTAAAAGACTACAGGTCTGACAGTATGAAGGCTTCTCTGTGGTTTACTGGCCTTCAGGCCTGGACTGTATACCTGCTTTTCCTATGTACTGCACTTGTCAGACAAGTATATATAGCTAGGAAGAGCCATGCTATCAAAAGATATACAAGGTGATTCACGGTCAGACAGGATCTAAATGCCTAAGATTTGTGCAAGGTGTAAAATTTGAGGTGCCTTGGAAGTGGAATCGGAGACCCTGGCCTGAGTTTCCTTTCAGGACTGAGAAAGGCATACTGCCAATGACAGAGGAAGTTGTGCGCTTCTTTGTTATCAAATAGCCTGTGCGTAAAGAATTCAGCCAGGAAATGTAAGAAAGAGATTTGGTGTCTCCCTTGGTCTTCTGGCAGTGAATGATTCCAGTGCCCAGGCATATGTCCTAACCAATGCATGGCTGTAGGTTGCAGCCCTTACTGAAAGTTATCATGGCACAGAAAGCAATTTCAGTTGTATTTAGGACAGCAGATGAATCGAGCTTTGTAAATTTAGGTTGCTGTGGGAGCTCCACTGGGAAGGATGAGTTTTGGACTGCGTTAACTACTATTTAATGTAAAATTCAGAAACAGCTCTGGGACTTGCAGTGAGTACCTAAACCACTAAACTCAGAATCCTCTCCTGTTTTCTGAGTGAAGGAATCTTGGTTGTTTTTTTATGTGCAGTGGTATGGCATCAGCAGTGGGGTTGCAAATCTGAGGTCCCCTGAGCCTTGTGAGTGCTATTCAGGGAAATAGGGCATAGAGAATCACAGAATAGTTCAGGTTGGAAGGGACATTTTAAAGATCTAGTCCAGCCCCTTTGCATGGTTTTCATCATACAGGTTTTCATCAGTCTCACTAGAGACCAGAATTGTTCCTCTGCAGGCCCTATTCTTGATTGACAGTCCTAATACCTGCAGTGATGTTCCCAAATGGAGTTTGCAGCTGCAGCTCTGTTCGCATTCTTTGTACTGCTTGGTCCAGTGGCATAAAACTCAACCCTCGTACTGTGGCTTTACCTACCTTCTTACCCAAAACAGAGCTTCACATCATGTCTGCTTACCCTCTACCATGCTGTTCTTCCTCCAAACTTAGCTTCTACTTAGAGCACAGCCCACATCCTTTCCACCCTGGCTCTGTATCTCACCAGGTCTCACTCCTTTTATCCATATCCCACTGATGCTTTTTCCAGATCAAAATTGTGCTCACAAATATTTGCTGACACATAAACTTTATATATTTGAAGAAGTATTTTCTGTACCCACTTCCTACCTCAGTGTAATCAGGCTGTACAAAAGGCTCGAGTAATGTGGCATGGCCATTCCTGTGAAATGGAAATATTTGGACATTGAGCTCTGCAGGTTTCAGTGTCCCAGAGATGCAGACCTGCTTTTTGCTTGATGAATGATGTGCATGAAGCTGCCGCCTCCTTTGGAATAGTAAAAAAAAAGTGGGAGGGAAAATGTGATTCTGCTAGCCAGTATGTGATTTATATTCAGAAGATTCAACTAGCATCATACCTAGTATGAACAATGACTAAAACTTTGATATTGACTCATTCAAATTAAAATATTTGTATCAATAGTATCCTTGCTATTTGAGGATGATTTAGGATTTTTTCTTTTGCAAATTGGGGTTTAAGATAGTACAGACAGTTAGGAAGCATCACATGCAACTTACGCTATGCTACATGAGGTTCATAATAAAAAGACTTTTACATTACTGGATATTAAAACAGATAGCAGAAGTCCCAGTTTTCTTGCAATATTTATTTCTATAAAAAGTTTATAAACTAAACTTTTGCACAAATTTGATATTGCATATAAATTTATACAGCAGTAGCTGGATACTCTTATCTATAAACACGTAACAAAATTAAGGATAACAATTAATAGAAAAATACAAGGCATCTTTGCCATTCGTGTTTAGTATAATATATAGCCAGTCATAAGTTATTAAAAAATGCGCAACAAAAGCCTGATGAATACAATCCCTTCTGTGCCACTCCATAACTACCATGAATTTTACAGTCAATGTGGGGCGTGGGGGAGCCTAAGTTGATGGGGAAAGTGACATTTTGTTTTCTACTATATATTTTACTTGCAAAAAAAATTTCTGATGAATACTTGAACTATGTTATTCACACCAGGAATCTGGAATAACTTGGTGAATATTGCATCATTTTAACCACACACATGTAGGTATAAGTACATCAACACCTTACTAGGTATGTAATCAAATTAAAGCCTTTTTTCAGGAAAACTATTCTTTCATCTTCAGAGAACCTCACACATCTTTAAAGATGTTTTTTATTAGCTTTACAATGTTGTTATTCTGTGAGCTACTTAATCCCACTTGCATGTCTGCCTACTCTTTTCTTTTCTAACCATGTAACCTGATATAAGTCACTTAGGTTTCAAGGCTTGAGATACCTTTGGATTTAAATTTGAATGCTTTCAGTTCCCCGTGTGTGGTCTGATTTAATCTCTTTGCCCAAGACTCCTCTCTCTAACTGTCTAGCCAATAACAACTGCAAAATCAAGACAATACAAGGCGTAGACAGGAAAAAATCTGGTTATCAGATATATTACGAAATTCCATTGTTGACTCCAGTGGTGTAGAAAGCAGCAATATCAGCTAATATGTAAGGATCCAGATCCTCAAAAAGAACTACTGTGCCTTAAATGCCTTTCAAAATCTGTGTCAAAAGAACTGAACAACATAGATCCACAGAAATCTGTGGGTAGAAGTTAAATGTCTTTTGTTGTAAACTTTGCCAACTAGATGGCAGTATCGTTCACAATAGCAAAACCTCAACTAGTCAAAAATAGACTGCTTAGCTACAATCTGTCATATCTTTTCTTAAACTGCCTGGGAATAATGGATGTTGTGCAACTGAAGTACTGAAAGTACTTCATGCTATCAGCAGAACTGCTTGAAAAGACACAGAATTGTGAGCTACAGAAGGCTTAGATAAGATAGTACTGTGTGTTTAAAATCATATTGTTTTTAACTCATAAGAAGACATCTAGCAAGTGACAGCAAAAATATCAGAGCTGTATTGTTTCCTCTGCTGATATCTGGTAGCCTTAAGTGCACAATATGCATAGCTTTTAAACTTGGGGATGCTATATATGTACTGAAAATAATAGCTGTTGGCCAAATTCTGCATTCCAGTACTAAGTACAACTTCTAAGAATCTCACAAGAATCCTCGACTGACTACAGAAACAACAAGTAGCCCTTCTTCTTCTTCCCTTGCAATGTGATAGTATATGTAAGAATAAAACATCTGTACTTCAGAGGGACCATTTCAGTTTCATGATTTTTCAATTTCAAAGTAGTAATATCCAACAGCAGACTTTTCTTTATTGTTTAGAGTCTAAAAAATCTTTACAGATGCCTCTAATAATATCAGGAACCATCTGCTCCAATCCTGTGAACTCCCTAGTGAAGAAAGTATGAGATTCTCTTGGTTCAGAAGCCATGTCTTTCAGATCATCCAGAGGTGCCCAGGCGACACCCACAGAGAAGACTGTTATTCCTACAATTAAAAAAAAAAAAAAAAAACAAACATTTTGCCTATGGATACAAGAAAAAGCCATTTCTACATCCATGAATTACTCTGGATCGGAAAAGCATGTTTAAATACCTGCAGTCTGTCAAAGATGATTAGATTTTTGCTGCTAAATATCAGGAATTAGATTTGTCTCTGTATAAATCCTGAAGGAAATATGGGGTATGTTAAGAGCCAGCATCCTAGTTGTTTTTGTAGTGACACACATGAATGTAGCAGTTACAATGGCAGTTTTCAAACACAAGTAACACAGTGTAAAATTATTTTGAAAGTAGATTTGAATCATTTGTGTATACATACTGCTTTCAGGTATCAGCAGCCCAATAAGCTCTTTGGCCAAAACAACTTATTTCCTTCCTAGATGATGACGGAGAGCAGGACTTGTGCTGTATTGGATGGCATCACTGATTGGAGTTTAATTACCTGGCTCTTTATTTTTAATCTACTGATTTCACTCCTGTTTGGGGAAAGGAGACTTTGGGTGTATGTTTTTCACTAAGCTGCAATGAGTGAGTCTACTCATACCTGGCTCCATAGCACTGTTTTTTCTTTATCCTAATGGAAGAGTTCCTTGGGGCTTACATTTTGCTGAATTTAAAACAGGTATGATACTTGGTGTGTTCACTGGGGCTGTATTTGCAAACTTTAAAATCTTAACACTTACAATACAGCAGACATAAGATGAATCAACTTCCACTGCTTTTAAAGATACATCACTTACCTGCTTTTTGTGCAGCAGCAGCAGGCCCTCTAACATCATCATAAGACTGACCATCGGTCAAAATAACAAGGAAATTTTTGTTAGGTCCGTCTTTCATTGGCCCAAACACATTTCTGGTTGTGAAAGAAATGGCATCACCAGTGGCAGTGCCACCGCTCATGTAGCGAATGTTCCGGATAGCCGAGAGGACCTTTTCTTTTGTGGTGTAGTCTGCGAAGCCGAACTCGGTACGCTGATCGTATGTGAACTGCACAGCTGCAATCTTGGAACCAATGTCAGAGATCTCAAAAGCCTTTGCAATGTTGCTGATGAATTCAAGCACAAGGCGGAAGTTGCTGTCTCCAATGCTGCTGGAACCATCTATCAAGAACCCTATGTTGACAGAGTTGTAGCATGTCTTGCTGCACAACATCTGCTCATGTGAACACAATTTTTGGACAAGAGGTTTTACAAATTTGGTGGTACCAAACCAGGTGGGCATTTGGTAAGAGAAGAAGCCATTATTTCGACAGACTGCCTGTTTGAAAACAAAAAGTCAAGAAGTGAATAGCGACATAGCAGCTGTATGAATAATAATCACACATCTATGTCATTTTTCTTTTAAAGGTAGGTTAGAAATGGCGCCTGATGGCAGGGGTTTGGGGTGGGGTTTTTCATTGTTTGTTTGTAAAGAAACTGAGGACAAACATCTGCAGTTGAAGTCAGTGGAAGCTATATTGTAGCTTATTTTATCCAATAATAATGTCAGCCCTGTCCCCTGACCTCTGGAAATTTCAAATAATTTTACCTTAGTGGTAAGAACTGTAACAACTGGCAATTACAATGATGGTTTTTTGAAAGTGAACTAAGTCACAGCTACTGAATATACAAAGGATTGACAGTTCGGTATTTTTGCTTATCCACTGAAAATTAGGCTTCTTTGTTTTCCCTTTGAATTTGGTAAGCACTTTATTTTTTAATCTATGATGTCTCATAAACACAGACATGCAGTTTGGTAGAGATACAGCTCCAGGTCATTCAAATTAAAATTTCTTTTTCCCTAGGCTGCTATAGGATGCATGTAAAGTGCAGCCTAATGGAGAAAGGAGTTTAATTTAACATCATCTGCCCAAGGTGAAAACTAATCTGACTGAGATTAAGATGCAGAAGGGGAGGGCAGGCATGAGTCACCTAAGGCCATGTCTTTCTGTGCCTATGAGTATATAATATTTGAACCTGCCTGCAATAACAGGCACAAGATAGCTTGTGCCTGGAAGCAGCAAAGCTATAGTGCTTTGTTCTGTTCATGTGCTGAGCTGTGAATTTTCTGCTGAAGTTAAACATCTGAAAACACCCTGTGAAAAATGAGAGGTTTTCTCACTGGAGAGTAAGTAAAGACCTAGTGCTTAGAAAGCTCACACAAGAGTGGAGGGCCACAAAGATGATTAGGGGACTGGAGCATCTCTCTCTTACAAGGAAAGGCTGAGAGACCTGCGGTTCTTTAGCCTGGAGAAGACTGAGAAGGGGACCTTATCAACACTTAGAGATATCTGAGGGGTGGGTGTCAAGAGGATGGGGCCAGGCTCTTTTCCATGGTGCCTGGTGAGATAGGACAAGAGGCAACAGGCACAAACAGGAAGTTCCACCTGAACATGAGGGAAAACTTCTTGCCTTTGTGGGTGACAGAGCACTGTTACAGGCTGCGGAGTCTCCTCTGGAGATACTCAAAACCCACCTGGATGCATTCCTGTGCAACCTGCTCCAGAGGTCCCTTCCAACCCCTACCATTCTCTGAGAGCAGATCTGTGTTTGAATTCCTACTCTAACTCATCCAGAGCGATATCCAAAATGCTTCATCCAAGATGAATGACTTGCATGTGAACGTGTTAGGATGTGTTTTTCAATCTTTCCTGTCCTCTTTGTAATGAAAGTAAGTCAATCCTCCATATAGCAGGTACTGAAAGGTATGCCTCCCTGTCTGCCATTTCAGGAAAGGAGTTAGCATATCTGTCTTTCATTGCCTTTGATATGTTTAACCATACCTATGATAGGGGAATCTCCTACTCTGAGAATCTTTATGTAATTATGAAGTCCAGGAACTACAGCTTGGCCAAGACTCTGAACAGAGAGGATAGTGATAGGACTTTGGTACCTTTGTGTAGCCCCCTTCGGCAGGAAAAAAAATAGTGTTTCTTTAGGCTTCCTCGTGATAAGCTTTTAAATTACGTGTAAGCAGGGATAGCTTCAGTGGCATTTTTGAGAGAATATTTTAATTTTTTTATGTATATATATACACACACACACATACATAAAAGAATTAGTTCATTAAGAATTTAGCATGAAGTAAATTCTCTAGAATCATACTCATGACTGAAAAATGTAAAATTAAATTCTCTCTTACTTTGTCAACAAAACTAATGTCTTGCACCATTCCCAGCTCCTCTGTTGTGGGTTTTGCTACAGATACAATGAATACATTGACTCCAAATTCTCTGGCCATTATGCCGGCTTCTTCTATATCATCTGAGGGCCAGCCATCTAGGAACACTACAATGATCTTGGGAATTCCTTTGCGTGCTCCGTTTTCTAAAGAGAAGAATTTCTGAGCTGCGTGCTTCAAAGCTTTCCCTAGTTTTGAACAGAAAAAGAACATGAAGAAATACTGCAGTTACATTTTTATACCAGTTTCCTATATGAAACTGTGCTGGATTTTGGTTATGATTACAGGTCTAACCCTGTGTAAAAGCAAAATAGTGTCCCAGGAAATCTGATAATAATGAATCTTGAGCAACCTATCAGTTAAAAAAACAAAGCAAACCAAACAAAAACCTCAAAAAACCCCCAAACTAAACTGCCCCTCCCCCCAAAAAACCCACAGATAAAGCTGAGGAAGAAACCACTGACATTTTTTCACCCACAGGCCTAGTTTCATACTAGGAAGTAGATATATTACTGCCTGTCAAATCAGCTAGAAGGAAGAAAGTTGAGGAGCTAACAAATTTAGCTTGTGAAACGCAACGTATTTGGAACGTCCAGTTTCCTCATTTGGCAAACATCTCTTCACAACCACTTTCTACTAATTCCAAGATTATTCTAACTTTTTAATTAGCAACTCAATAAAAATGAAATGCTAAGCCTTTTAGATATGAATTTGTCTCAAGATAGAATGTTGTTACTAGTGAAAAGTTGATTACTGTTTAAACACAGGAAGTGATATTTGCACTTCTTTGGTAATTAAATGTATAGTAAGCAACCCTAACTTCTGGAAATGAAATGGAAGATGTGACAACATTCTAGTGGAAAAACATTGAACCTGACATAAACGTGGCATTTAAAACAGTTTCTTGCCTAACTGAATTATAAGAACTTCAGCATATGCATATGTGTATATATATGTGTGTATATATATATGCGCACACATATATTAAAATAAATATTTATTTGGAAATGCAAATAAATAATTTCTATTTGCATGGAGCTATGAACTCACCTGTATTAGAATTGCCTCCTCTGAACCCTAGCTCCTTTATGGCAAACAAAACTTCTTTTGCAGCAGTGAAGTTTTTCAGATAGAATTCAATCTTTGGATGTTCACTGTGGAAATACAAAACAGAGTAAGGAAGTATGTAGTTCACTTTTCATACTGCTATGGCATTAGCAAGCTAAAATATACCTTGAATAATTTTGTTCTTGGTAATGTACACTCTTCTTTATATTTTTGATTCCTAAAACAGAAGTATGATCCTCGCTTAATAATTCTTACAATCCTTAGCAAGAGGAATTATTTATCTGGGTGGATAAAGTAAGAATCAAGCTGTTCTTAAGCTTATCAAGCAGCTGAAAACATTAGGATCACAGAGGCAGAAGATGATCAAATTTTTCATGCCTTCTCACATGGGCATCTCAGTGTAGCACAAAGCAAACAGTACTACAGCTTGAAAAAGTTTGCTTTCTCTTGCTATTCATCATGGAGTGAATACTGTACTGCAAAATAGGGAGTGATATATTAATTGATTTCTCTTGTTAATCACCCAGTTATATTTTGTATAGATCTGTTCTTACCTGGCTTGTACAACTCCAACGTGAGGCCCTTCTGTTCCAATTCCCAACATCACAGCTACTTTTCCAACAAAGTTTTTCTGCAAATTAAATCTACGTTGGCCGATGTTGTAACTTCCATCAATAAGAAATGCAATATCAGCTTTACAGTCTGTGAACATCCAAAATAATTAGACTTACCTTAAACCAAATAAATATTAGGATTTTGCTTTGTGAAAGTTAAGTCTGTAGGTTCTTACCTTTGTTTCCAGCCTTTTTATCAAGTGGCTTCTTAGGTCTTTTACCTTCAGTGAAGGAAACAGCATGGATCATTTAAGAACAAGACGACGAATGGCCAAAAGCAAACCCGAAAAAGCTCAGACTCCAAGAATTACACTGCAGTCTATCTACAGTAGGAACTGGCAATCAGTTTATTTATGAAACTTGCACTACTACTGCTTTGCTCCTTAGAGAATATTCTTTTTCAAATGAAACAGTTTAACCTTCCTTTCTACACCCATCTAGCTGATTACCAACACATAAAAGCTGTGGGGGTTGCTATATCTGACTGTCCCAAGGGCTACCATTTCTCAATTAGCAATCCTGCTGTACGGTGTGCAGTTTTAATGGTTTGGAAGCAAACTGTGACTTCAGCTGTAAAGCAAATGGCTATTCACAAACATGATCCAAGTCCAATATTTATATACCATTAACCTTCATAAAAACTGATCTAGCCTTTTACTGGCAGCATATTCCGTGGAGAAATTCACATAGCATCTACGTTTCTGCTATGTTAGTCGTGACAGCACTCAGCTGCCAAGTAGTTCTGTAAGAGAGAATGCATTGCCTGTCTTCTCTGTCACTTAATAGGAATGAATATTACACGAGCTCATGAACTCTTTCCTTCCTTTCTGTTATTCATATTACTCTTCTAAATTAATTCAAGTTTTTCTTAATTTACATGAACACTACTGAAGTCAGAATCAATCTCCTATTATAAATGATCCCTCTTTTTGCTGATGAAAGACATACTGCAAAAACAGACATTGTATGTGTTTTCTTCTTTAAAAATAAACAAATCCTACGAAACACAGCATTTGAGTCAGGGATTCACACACTGTAGCACATCTTATCCCAGGAGGCTTCCCTTGTTGCAGAGATCTTACCTGTAGAAGGACGTGCTGTTGATACTGATCGCCCAACTGCTTCAAGCACTGTGTCCTTGGTACCTGTTAAAACATTAGAAGAATACATTTACTGTTTTTAGTATATTTAGATGAAATTACAAGTGCTTGAATAATGTTGTATTTCCAATAACTTTTCTTCATCATCTGCCATTAGCTACTCCTGGAGTAGGACAGGGGCCTAGACAGATCTTTGGTGCAATCAAGTATTGCACTCCTTGTTTTACAGGTAATAAACTTCTCCTTTAAGCTTCTGCATTTGAAACAATAGCAGCTGATGAGTAATTACAGCATATCTAATTGATGAGGTTTTGAACTATAACAGACATTAATTCTAGCAGATACATTCAGGACTTGATCTGGAGTAGTGGATTTCACTTACAACCTCACCAAAAGCACCTTTAATTCCAAGTTCTTAGCTGTTAATTTGCAATGGACACTATACAAGGATTGACTAGTATCTTAGAGCTAGTAGGCTGGATTTTAGCTATGTAAACAATAAGAACACATTAGAGAGATTTGTTTCCCAAACTTTGAAAGAATATACCAGCAAACAAATACACTTTAATATTTTTTAAACCACAACATATATAACCAGCAAGCTTCTTTATACATTTTTATGAGGGTGGTTTAACCTCACCTAAGTGGCAGGGCCTGATAACTGGTTTGCAATCAGGCACAGTATCTCAACTATGTGGAGAAAAACTTTGAAAAAAACCACCATCGCACTGTAACTTAATGACCACATCACGTCTAAGTTAGCATTATTCCTGTTTTTGGAGGATCATTGTTTTGTTTGCAGAGAACCCTGCACAAGCTCTGTGAAGGGCCCGACAAGCGCTGCTGCCTGCGCAAAGGCAAGCAGGGGGAGAGAAAGGACACGACTGTATGGCTGGAAGCGGTAGGGAGACAGGACTGCAATAGCAGGATCGAAGCACTGACTTAGATCAGCGTAAACTGTTGTGGAACTGCACTGACAACTGCCTGCTAGCATGTCGTTATATTCTAAATAACTGCGATTCTTTTTTATGTATCAGCTTCTGCTACAGACTAGCTCGTCTGGTTGGAGTAGTGTTTTAAGGAAATTGTGAAAAATGAAGGTAAAATAATGAGGTAAAAACTTTTGTCACTACGCTTCAGGTAGCTATCACATTTGTTTATGCACATAGGAGCACTGAAGAAGTTTCCTAGAGTTCTCTTAATATGTCAAATATAGTTTGCAAAATAATAAGTGTGATCCACCTACGAGTCACTGAGAAAGACGAAGCCCATCTAGTGAGCACCTGGGACTGGATCCCATTGGCATTTACAGCAGGGTAGTTTTCCTGTCCTGGGAGAGTCTGTACCCTTACAGCTCCTCCTGCATTGGTGATCACACCCCTGAGATACGAAAAGAGTTGTTATAAATCAGACATTTTAATCACAAGAAAATGCAATACAGTTATACTATCATTAGTATATTGGACACTAGCCTCCTAAAGAAGTTGCCATATAGGCAGGCAGTTGTGTTCAGGCTAAAACAATCTATGAATTGCTGAAAAGACTTTTAAAAGAAACCATTCTGCAGAGCACCCCATAGACTTAGGGAAAAAAGGGCAGGAAATTCTAAAATTCTGGCAGAGTTTAGGCTGATGCAGAAGAGTCATGTTTCAAGGAGATACCAGTTCCTAAAGAAAAAAGCTCCAGCAAAATGTACTTGAGCTCCTTATGCCTGCTGAATATTTGTGACTGAAAGAAAGTTTGGTACACTTAACTACAAAATGGCCAAAGCTGAGAAAACTGGGAAGAAAAATTGCTGTTTATAGTAGTGATGGATATGTAGGATATCTTGTTATGCAACTATAGACTGAAGTCAGAAATGTTAGACATTATTGACAGCAGCCATCCGATTACTGATAATTATAACAGAGCCTAAAGCATCTTATTCTTCTTATTCATCTGTAGTAAACATTAAATGTGAAATCTGAAATGAATGAAATAAAAGTTAATAAATCAATCTAAGATTCTGGATTGCTTTCAGTCTAGGCTTAGAAATAGTATATCAACAATAAATGCAATTCAACTGTAATTTCTACTGACAGATGTAGATGCAATACGAAATTGCAGCTTCAGAACTGGGAATACTTAGGTAATAGTTAACAGGTTATAGCTATCTTCATTTGTTTAAGCATACTGCAGTGCATCCTTAATATACAGTTATAACAGATTAATGAAAAAAAATTCAGAACAAATACCAAGAAGCTTACAGATTAAAATAACTTATAAAGCCATATTCAGTATTGTAAGACTATTATACTTCTTAATGCCTGCTTTAGAAGGGTCAGTTTAAAAGCAGGCAATCAACAAGAGAACTTGTAGCAAAAACTATGGAGGAAGAGGGTTGAACCTAAAACACCCAGACACTTGACAAGTTTTTAGAGGTCGTAGTCTAGTTCTTAGAGAAGGCCACTACAACTTTTCCCTTGCTGAATTTCATTTGATGATGCAACAAACATGTTTTGAGATTGCCTACCGGATCTGTCCTGCCATCTGAGACAAATGAAGGAATAGCTAGTTTGAAAATCTTGCTGATGCTTATGGGCTGAGGTTCGTGTGAATGCCCAGCAGGACAACAGATTTATGTATTTCGGAAACTTCACCGTTAAAAGCAGCCCAGAGAACACGTTGCTGTTTTTGCAGGCAGAGAAGCTGTTGTGGTTGTGTTTGGATAGCTCAAGTGACAATAACAGGCATCAGAACTTTTTATGTGCTACTGAAAGAACAGTTGTTATTTTTAGAGGCCAAAATTCAGTGTTGAGCTCCTCTAAGAGGGAGCAGAAGCTTGATGCTTTGTAGTACTTGGGCAGGTACAGTACTGCAGGAGACAAAAAGAGTATTTAAACACAGCAATGTGCACCTTTGTTTATTTTTCTTATCTGTTTGGCTTCCTGCTTGGAAAGAGGTCCCAGTCTAATCTGATTTAAAACATTGTGGAAGTAGAATAATCAAGACCAGAGTTTAGAAAATCTTGCATACATTTCTGGTAATATGAGCTCTGAGTATCTGTGGCAAAGGCAGCTTCCATGTAAATCTTGTGGACTGCTGTTAAAATACATTCCTCATTCATGGACGTGATTTGCATTTCTAAATTGAACTCTGGTTATATATATATGTCTGTCTGTCTGTCTATATATACATCTCAAACTCTTGTAGCCTGGAAGATTACGATAGTAGTTTCAAAATATACAGATATTTTCTCATCTAGGAATATGTATAGAGTATATAGACAGAGAGGCTTTAGTAAAGTTACCCTGAATGAGTTTAAAATCAGATTATAAAGTTGGCAAATACAAACAGCACTTTACAGTTCTTTAAAAGACAGAGAGAAGAATCAGACCAGAGCCTCTAACTGGTTATTTTTAAATGACAGGAAACTTCAATAAGGCAAAATTATCTTCAGGAAAAATAACACATTAATGTATTTAGAATATTTCAGTCTAATTAGAACATAATTTTCTTCTCCAGTACCTGGTTCTCTTTGGCATTCAAGGCTTCTCTAGTGTCTCAGTCTTAATGGATAAGGAAATATCTGTCAGAACTGGAATACGTGTGTTTAACTGGAACAGTTTCTAGTTTAAGTTTATACTTGCAATTTTAGTGAAGCTACTTTGGGCTTACATCAGCAAACCTGATCTATGCCCAGGCTAGCTCCCAAGAAGAGCTTAGTATCTCTTCCCACTTCCTTTGTTGTGGACTCACAACTTTGAGCGCTGGCTGAATTAAACTCAGGAAGACATTCATACGGAAAGCTCAACCTAAAAATTACTCCTGGAAGCAAAGATTTCAGCTTATTTTTACGCACAGTGTGACAAAGTTTGTCTATATTTTTCCATTTTGTCTATTGGTCTTTTCATTTTGGTTGCCATGTAATCATTCTGGGAAAAAATAATACTCTGGATAGTTTCCATTGAATTGGGAAGCTTTCCACTAAAACTAGAGTAGGTTTATTTGCTACTTACCTATTTATGGAAAACATTTGACTCTGTATTTCATCACAAGTCACGAAGCTCTAGATTGCCTTCTGAAGATACACTACTTCCATGTAACAGCTCAGCTATTTTTAATGCAAGGTGGGGGTGATATTAGATGTGAATATAACATGAACTATATATTATGAAAGTTATTCCTCTTCTCTTGCCCTTTTGTTCTGTGAGTAAATCAACAAGTGTTTAAGTCATCTTTTACTATCTCATCAGTTTTACTTGGGATGTTTCTTTCAGAAAGTTTACTCAGAGTGCACGTTTATATATACTAAAGTGGATTAAACCATATTGCCAGTCTGCCTTTGTATTCTGAATCAGGTTGGCAAATTGCTTTCTGCAATCATTTACGATTGAATTTAAAAGTGAGATTCATCCTGTGTAGACCTGAAGTGGTATTTAAACACTGAAGAGGTGCCCATGCATTTCCTCAGAATGATTTATGTCATTACCATCTGCTTTGATTTTCACCACTGTTCTTTGCTCCCATGTGACTGACTTGCACGCCATGGCTCTTTTGATTAAACTGGAACTCTGCAGATTTTCCAGGAATAGCTTTCACTTCCTTGCTATGTTTCATGCTACTGCCAGCGCTGCTTGATAGCAACTTTATATAAAGCTGTCAGTCCATTCTCTTGCCTAGCTTCACTGTTAATAACAAGTCATAATTTATACCTAAATGATATTTTTCATTCAAAAATGCACACAAATTTAACAGAAAAGCAGATACATGAGGAAGCAGTCCAGTATCTCACTGCATAATAGCTCATGGAAGAAAGGATACTGGCCAAGGGCAGCAGAAGATATAGGAAGGTCTTATGAAATATAGGAGTTTCATCTAAAGCCTACTTAAAAATCCGAGTTGAGGTAAATGAGCAGATGGGACTGAAGCTTTTTAGAGCCTCATGCACTTCCTCAAAGGAAAGTGCAAGAACTGTTATCTGCACTTCCAGAGAAAAAGATACAGGGCTGGCTTGCCTTAGCTGAATGTTGAATGTGGTTTTCAAGGAGCCTGCACATCAAAACTGATGCCTAGACCAAAAAGAAACTTTTCCAGCCATGGAGGATGACCCTGTGACTGCAGTCAGCAATCTTAGACACAGCAGTAGAAAGCTGAAATACCATCTCCTGTTAAAAGAAAAAGGAAGCACAAGACTTTCACCTGGTGAAAATCTTTCGTCTGGGTAAATTTTCCATTGCTGCTTAGAATTTGTACGAGTGGTCACAGGTTTGGCTGATGGAGAGAGCACTTTTTGCAGCATGCTTGTAAGCTGCCGACTTGCTTAAAAATGTTGGAGATTAAGCCAAGTGGCTGTTCCCTTAAATGGGCTTAGTTCCAAGTGTAAGGTAAGGATCAGCTAGATAAAATTTTCTAAAAATAACAAAACATTGTCAGTGAAATAGACAAAGATTGTTTTCCCCCTTCTTGTACAATAGTGTTAAAGAGTGAAAAGAAACAGATGTGAACATAGACTAAGTGTTCTACACCAAGAAAAGCTCTCAAGCCCAAGGGCAGCAGTGCTCCAACTGGGCTGTTAAAAGAAGTATATATTAAGCTGATTTTTGTCTTGCAGTCCAGAAGAAAAATGTTCACTCAGAAACTCACATGATAGGTTTTTATGCCAATTGTGATGCTCATCATATGTCTGTAGGTAGGCTATCTGCTTTTTCAGCAGAAGGGAGAGGGCAGAGAGATGAAGGCCTGCCATACTGCCCAAGAGCATAATTTTGAACTGAAAGTTCCAGTTCCCATTGCTAACAAGAGTGCTGGCTGTGATAGCAGCTGGCATTTCCTATAGGGTCCTTGGATGAAAACAGATCCTCAGGGACTTAAGGCAGCTGAATTACCCATATTCCCATCTTTCCCTCTTGCTATTGGCAGCTGCAAACTCCTTCCACATCATCTGTCTTTCTCCATTGCTTCAAGAGACATCCTTGTTTTCTCCAAACTGCAGCCTCCTACTGCTGCCTGATTGCCTTCAGTCACTGATACAGAGCTGCTCAGGGTTTCATGCCAGCATCCCCTGGCCCCCTAGGCTGGGCTCTTTCTGTCTCCTCTGCACCCCCTGTTGCTTTTGACAGGAAAGAAGGCTTAGCAGCAGAAGCAGGCGCTATACCAAAGTTTCCCGGAGGATCTACAGCTGCTCAGAAATCGCTCTGGCCAGACAACATTTTTGTCAGTATTCTTCTAGCAAACACTAGGGCAGCTCAGGGTCCATTTGTGTTTGTGGTCACTTTATGGCCAGCTTGGTAATACCATGATATGCTTTTGTTACACTTGAGTTCTGGGACCCCAGTGTTTAATTAGAAATGGTTCCACCCTGTGACTAGAGTTAGTAAGGTTACAAAAACATTTACATGCCTATTTAGCATCTAAAAACTACTGCATTGGGCTAGGTCTCCATTTAGTGGAATTGGCACTAGAACAGAACTGCACAAACTGAGAACCTAGTCCTTCATTCGACCTTCTGATTATTAATCCAATTAATCACTCAATGGTAGATTTAACTCAGTTCTTCATGCCTACATAGTGTCAACCTGGTAGGAGGTTATCCATGCTTCCCCCAATAAATAAATCTTTTGTTCTTCTGCCCAGAAAAAGAACAATATTAAATAAATATTCTGTTTCCTGACAGTTATTACACATAAAATAAGGAGAGAAAAAGCCAAATATAACAAACTAAAACAGGCGGCAGAAAGCTTATTAATCTGTAATATACAGACTTAGTCGTAGCTGAATTCTGCTAAATTCTGGACATGCGTTATACAGTATTTTGTGTTAATAATTGCTTCACAGTAATGGAACTACTCATAGAAAGAAGCATTATTTGGATTACATAAACTTAAGGAATCTGGCCTGAATTTGGACTCGGCACACAAACTGGAGTGCAAGTGGAAGGCAGAACTGACCAATGCTCACACAATCTTTTCCAGTTTAATATAAAAAAACCTACTGCTCCCAAGACTGATGCTTCTTGAAATGGTGGCTGGTTGTCTGACTGTGCTTTCTGTAAGGTAATGGCAACAGCCATGGCAGTGGCCCAGGCTCGTTACTCAACACTGTTTAAGGTGAAATAGAGCTATGTCGCACTCACCATGCAATGCAGAGTATACCTAGTTTAAAACTAGGTGCAATTGCTTCAGTTATTTGGTAGAAATTTACAAAATTCTGAAAGCACATACCCAGTTACATCACGGTTACAGCAAATTACAGTGATTACCTATTAGCAGTATCTTCTTGGAGTTTCTTTGACACCAACATGGAGTTTTGCAACAGAGAAGGAGAAGGAGCAAGTATTTTGTATGTTTTTGTTGGATTTCGCAGCCTGCACTGAAATTAGCTGAGAACTAAACAGCTCTCACCTCTTCTCCATTCATCAATCCCTTTTTACCAGGACTAGTATTTATGGCTGATAATAGTTGCAGCAAAACCAACAAAATGTTCTCATATAGCAAATTCTGTTCTGAGTATAAAAGGCCAACAGGACTAATAGCCCTCAACTTAAAGGTAGTCTTCAAAAAAACCAGCAGTCTCCTGGATAGAAGATTTCACCTATATGGTGCTTTTTCAAAATGCTTTACTACCCTCTATCACATTCAGAAGACTTGAACATTGTTAATTTACATCCTTACTAGAAGACACAGATTAGAGGGGTGAGTATATTTTACTCCCTTCATTGCTATTAGAGCCCTCATTTTTCTCGCAATGCCTGTGGAGACAGATTGTTCGATGCTGGTTTTACAAGCAGGGATGCATATTTCACAAGTACTGTAGTTTATATTGACACTTACTATGGAAAAAATACAGATTTTTCTATACTCCTGTGCTTCTGGGCTGAAGAACAGGAATATACATAGTTTATAAGGTACAGAATTCAGTGAAGAGCTAAGTGATGTATAAATGCCTGTGCTTTATTATCTAGCAGAAGATTATGCAAATCTTGAAAAGAAATCTTAATCTTCCATTTCTTGTACCTCCTCCTTTTGTAAAAGTATTTCCCAGCTGTGACAGAACCAAGCCCCACCGGCTTTCTTGGGACTTCTCCAACGTCACAGTCACCATTGGCACAGGAGGTTCAAGACCACTGCGTAGCTGAACTGCTTAAGAACTTTGCAACTTTTCAGAACTCAAGCCTTCAGTCCCTTTGGAAAAAGGTCTTGATAGCAAGAGCTTTTTTTCTCTTTAAGTAAAGATATCTTTGGCAACCAGTAAAGAAACAGAATGTTAAAATAAATGGCTACATCACTAAATACAAACATTGTCTTAAAAAAAAAAGGGGACAAAATCTCAGTTTTCCTATATAATCTTTTTTTAAAGAGACATTTGATCCAGACATTCTGTCGCAAACTTTTTCTATGTACCCAAGCTAGGAAGAGCTAAGAACTGAAGTTTAACTTTTTTTTTTTTAAACACTTATGAAGGCACTTAAAGCACACTGAATGGAGGCATTCAGTCTTTTACAAAAGCATCAAAGGGAAGCCTGTTCTAGCAATGAAACGGAGACATGTAATTATCTTTGAAATTAACTCTTAAGCTTTAAAAACAAATGCACACAGACCCCCACAATACCTCCCAAGTTCTTTCTAGCTGCACCTATGGTACCTTAGCTCCTAGTCTCCTTTACAGCATTTGAGACATTCCAGACAGAGTTTCTACTCAAAGCCCCCTCTTAAATCCAATTAAAAAAACCAGTTCATTTTAGTTTACTTCGAGGTTGAAATACTATAAAAATAGCCTGAAATTTGGAAGTCTTGTTAAAAGTTATAGTATTTTAATTGACACTTTAAATAAATTTCTGGGTAGTACTGATAGCCCCCTAAATATTATTTAAAATGCTTAGTATGTATTTTATGGCATTTAAAGTATCAAGCAATGAATGTTAACGCGAAAAACCCCTATATCTTCCAGACATTTCTCTGTAAAGTTTTAATTTTTTGGGGTTTTCTTAAATAAAAAGTACTCTGATAGCAGGGTTCAGCATCCCATCAATATATTCTGTTCTGTTGCTTGGGGATAAAAGAAAGATTGAAACTATTTCCCTATTTCTTTGAAACACTTTGTTTCACTTAAGCTTTTAAGAATAGTTTCAGCCTTTCTGCAAGGGCAGCAGTAGTTTTATCTGGAATATATAAATACAGTAAGATGGTGTGATTATTTTAACTGCAGTTTATGTATATGTTAACATGAATAGCCTAGAAGCTAACTAAAACTAGTTTTAAGTTCAGTGATGCTCAAAGGTATTCTGGATAACTTATGTTGTAATCCACCAGTGCTAACGGAATCTCATTCATAGGAATAGGACATTTAAAGAAGTTCTCTGTAATATAGTATGATACCTCAATACAATGATTTGTGTCAAGAGTACCTCTTAAAACCTAAGTAATTTAACTTCGTTATATGCATGATGAAGTCTTTTAAATATATACATAATATTTAATCACAATTCTCAGAAATTAGGAAAAATTTGGGCACGATGATTTGGTCTGTACTTCTGCTTCAAGATAGGCTCAATTATAGCTATCTCGTTATTCTAGACAGGTAAGTGTCTATCTGTTTTTGGAAACTGCACTGTCTGTTGCAGTTTCTGTGATATCCAGGCCATCTAGTCTGTCCTTATTGTTAGACTTTTCTTCATGTCTAATCCAAATTTCTGTTGCTGAAGTGTCAGTCGTATCTTAAGGGTCATAACACCTTACAAAGTTTCAAATCTGCTTTGTGGTGGGAAGTGTACTGTGAAAGGTCTAAGTGAACAAGTATCATGTTGTACAGCCAGTTACTAGATGAAGCTAAAAGTCCTCCTTTAATAACCAAAAGCTTTCTCAAAGTATTAAAATCAAAGTCTGAAACTCCCTGTAGACTGACAGTCAGGAATCAGTCTGGCTTCCACAGACATCTGAAATAGATATCTCACTGTCTCCAGCTGGTTTTGTCCAACATTTCCTTATTAAAAATTGATCCAAGAGAGAATTCACCTTGCAAATAAGTAATTAAATCTTTGTCCTTCCGCAAAAAAAAAAAAAAAAACAACAAACAAAACCAAACCAAACCCACAAACCCAACCCACAAAAACCCAGATAACCTCAATAAGAAATCTGCGAGCCTGTTTTCCTTCCCCTGTGAAATTATTACTGCTTTTCTAATGACATCTATTTAGCCTGAGTTATCTGGATATTTTTCTTAGTCTTTAGTTTTCTATGATACGTTAAGTGAGTTCAGCTAGATACTGGTCTAATTAAGAGATAATTAAGTAGACTAACACCCAGCAAGCAACTGTCAGAAGAGAAATGCTGTAAGAAAATAAAACATAACACTAATTAAAAGTAATAGTCTATGGACCACATTCAGCCAAATCATGGGTAGGTCTGTTTGCATAGGAGCTTAAACCGCTTTCAACAATTTCAGAAAAAATGTCATGTAAATGAAAGTCAAAAAGTGAATCTGCTTTTATTCTCCAGTTAGTTACTGTTTACACTCTATCCTTTCATGTCTACCAGTAGTGACACATTAGTTATCTCACAGTGAAAGTCTGTCCACTGCTGTGCCATTTCAGAGAAACTTAAAGTGGTTTTAACTTAAACACAACTCAGATAACTTGCAAGCTGCCCAGCCATTCTTTTCTTCCTTGCTCTCTCTTCTCCTAATGACATTCCTGTTGAGTTAATGTAACTCCCAAAGTCCAGAAATATCATTATTATGATGGCATCAAAACGTTAAGATTTAAAAGTGTGGCAAGACTATATGAACTTGCTTAACACATTGATTAGCAATCATCTGACTTACCTGTGTATGGCAGCTCCACAGACACTAGAAAGAGAGGCATAAACTCCATCCCCAAAGACATAAAATTGCCATAGAGGACAGTTTGCTGGGCAAAGGACATCTTCTGTCTCCTTTCTAAGGTCAAGTCCTCTTGTAAAGCACGTGATAGCAGTGGAAGCTAAAGAAAAAAGAAGAACTTGTGACCTGAAAATTTTAAGTTTGTTGTTTAATCTCTCCGCAAGTTTCCAAGCTTAAAGCCATATTTGAATTTTAAATTAGGTCCAGTGGCTCATCTTATGCTCCAGTATGTCTATAAAGACATCTTTGGAGCTTACAAATATACAGTTATGACAAGGAAGAACGCATTTTAAATTATTTACGGGAAAGAAGTGGCAGAAAAAGGTGGGAAGAGTAAAAAAAAAGCAAACACTAAAACAATATTAAAGTAATAGCCAAGGAATATTACAGTATAAAAAGCAATTCACATCTGTAAGTTTACTGCAGAGACAGAAGGGGAAGACCTTCGAGGGCTGATGTTATACACAAGTGGGCAACACTCTCCAAGGGAGAAATTAAAGTACTCTGACATCCCTACAGTAATCTTCAGCCGTAAGACATCTATCAATCACTTGGAAAACTCCGAATCTTCTCTCCAGTGGCATTCATGAAGCAGGTTGACAGCAGCATTTCCCTTCACCTCTGCAATAAATCCTACTGCGGCCAGTGTCAAAAATACCTATCTCCTTGCTCCAGTAATACAGTAACATCTCAATTCATTGCAATGAAGTTTACATCTTATCATTGTGCAAAGGACTGTCAGATTCACCCAGTGGGATAGAAGTTACTTATTCAACTGAGGCACATGCATTTTTCACATAGAACTCTGCCTTTTTTTCTTGAAATTTTCTCCCCAGATTATCATCATTATGCTTTTGCTGTGCTTGCATGTGTGCAGGGTAGGTACGCAGACCCAGATTTACAGAAGTATACAATTTTACTTGGCAAATGGTTGCTTTTTCTTTTGAAAACGTAGAGGTTATTATCTTGGATACTCACTACCACCCTTCTGCTACACAGGACAGCATGTTCAGCTGGTCTGATAGCAGAGCAAATTAGGGCTTTGGCTTAGATCGACATTAATTCAGCATCATAAATTCAACCCATGACTGGATATTTATTCTGAACTTTCTAAGAGCACATCTTGCCCTTGCTGAGCACTAGAAGGTGCAACAACCTTTTCTATATGCAGAGTATTACTTTTTATAATATTAAAATGAGAGCTGACAGGCTGGCCAATGTATCAGCGCATATACCACCGCATTATATCCCAGTAAGAGTATGTTTTGGGGATCAGTGATCTGTCATCTGCTTCCCTGCCCACTCTTTCACCTCTTACCCTAGGGAGTTTATGCACCCCAACATAAGCTGCTTGTATTCAAAAGTATTTGGAGCATACACTGTTGCTCATCAGCAAATGGAAAAGATCATACCTCCTGCTAATCTCACTGACTTGTGAACTGAAAAGCAGAACAGTTACAGCCACAGGGGCACAGGGAAGTGTCTGTTCATTTTGGCTGCATAAATTGAACACATGTTCATAGACCATGCATGTAGTTTTTTATTTTAAGTATATGTAATCCTCACTAATGCTATTCAGAAATTATGTTAAACTACCTAGTCACATCTTCCTGAAAAATCTGTGCTGCTGCTTGTCAGCACAAAGATGTGTATGCTAAATACGTCTATATAGTCCAGAGTAAAAAAGAAAGGAGAAGTATTTCTTCATTTTCCCCTTCTCAAGATAATAAAAGCTGTCCACCTAGCAAGCCAGTGTAAAGTGATATAATCTGGTTAAGAAGTTTCTTCTAGGACTTAGTCTTACTACTTGCATCTTCTCCGTGTTTAATCTTATACATTTGCCTTAAAAACACAAGTCTGAAAAACCAAGTAGAACCACCACACTGATACCCAGAAGCTCCGTATTTTGTTAAAAGCGCCATATTATTGGTGTTATGTGAAAAGAGGTCAATTTTCTTTGCTGTTCGAGTCCCCTAATCCTTCATGAAAGTTCTACAAGTGTGTTAGCTAATTACTGGGCACTAACCAGTTATATCCACCAAATGACAACTAGCAATACCATCAGAACAAAACAGCAGCTGGAAGGCTAGATATCCTTGGAGGAACCACCACAGTGGGTAATCTCTGCTCTCACAGTACTGCTTGTGCTGTGCACCCTGCAACATTTTTCTAGCCTCTAAGAGTGCAAAACACCACAGGAAGTTTTAATACCTGTCATTTCTAATGTACTGTACTTAACTGAATTCCTTGGCAGGCTGTGCATACAAAGACAATAATTAGACATGTCTAGTTAACAAATCCTTTGTCACTGTAATCTGTATTTCCCTCACTACCAGGTACTTACTAATTACAGTCATAGGTCAGACTAACATTTTACATAGCATGAGGAAAAAAAAAATCTTGCTGCGTTCCCTAGCTATGAAAACACAGAAGTCCATTGTAGCTCAGCCATGGGATTTTTATGTACTGGCAGCCTAAAGACTGACATGATCCTTGTTTGCATCACGAGAGGCGGGCTTCTGAGGGAAGGGGGCAAGTTGCTGCTGCGTGAACTGAAGAGCTGACATTGTAGCTAGGGGCTTTTAGCAGTTTGTACCTCAGCTGGATCAGCATGGAGGTAAAACAAGACTTTGACATACATGATGCTGTTAATTAAAACCAACAATTTCAATTTGGTTTTCTGTGTAGGTAGATACAGCTTTCCATAAGCTATAATTCTGTAACTGAGACTAACATTAGGAATATTAGGTGCAGTATCAAAATGAGAAGTACTGGGTACCAAAATTAAGACTTATAATAGATCAACTCTGCAGTGGATTTTATTCTTCCCAGTTAGTTAATATATCGCCAGCTATCCAACCCATAGAACTACAAGTAGTCTCTTGCAAACAGGAAAATGTATTAATGAGGTCTGAATACTAGATAATATAAAATAGTTCTTCGCCAGCTTACATACTATCATTCTCCCAAATTTCATGTGCTGTTACTATTAAAATTGAAGGAGGTGATGGTTTTTGTTGGTCTATCCAAGATACTTCATCACAGCAGAAACTGCCAAAGATTATAAAGTATCTGAGATAAAACGCCTGTGTTTTAGTCACTGTAATGTAAGAATGCAAGAGCAGTATCAGTGGAGGCATTTGTCTGGATACATGTGATCCAATACTCTTAAATCCATGTGTTTTTGGAAGAAGGAAGGATAAGCTTGTAATTTACAGGAAGGGACTCAGTCCTAAACTGCTGCCCATTCTGAACTCTAGTGAAGACCCGAGACTTACATCACGTGATAGAAAATTAGGCCTTTAGAACTGTAATAAAATGACCATCATCCCATTCTGTCAAGACACACACTTTAAGCCTCACAAACACACGACAAGGCTACAGCACAAAAACGAAGTACAAAGAAAAACTGTATTTCTTCCTGATTTAAGCCATAGGGTAGAGATGAATGTCTTCCATCACTGTTGACCTAGAAAAGAAAAAGATAAAAAGCAGAGGCTCATTTCTCACCTAAAACATCCATCTGACACCCATGCTTTCAGCCATTCCATCAGTTTCCATCTTTTGGTACCTTATCCCATATACATTAATTTGGCCGAATAGCTGTTTCTTATGCCCACCTATAAAAGTTCTCGATTTTTGACAGAGTCACTAATTTAAGAGACTCAAAAAAATAAAATCCATAAGCAAAATCTGAGCTTTTCTAATCTTGACGTTTCCATGCATTGCTTTGGGAAAGCAGAGTTTATGTAAAGGGAAAAAAATGCCTATGTACATTATTACAAAAAATAGGGATTCCCAAGGGTAATGCAGTTTTATGAGTCATAAAATAGAGAAATACATCCCTAATACGCTTCTTACTCCTTTGAATATTTAGCATTGTTTCTTTGCAAAACAAAGATTTGAAGTCCTTTATCTTGAGGATTCAAACACACCTGCTTTTATCTTACACAAGGAATAAACCCACAAACCTTATCCATACTAGGAAAAAAGACATACTAGTAGAACTATACCTGTTTATATTTTGCAAAACATGTTCACAGATTCCATCCTAACTCATGTAATCTTAGGTACATATCCTGATCCGGACAAGGGCAATGGCATTTAAAAGAGTGTGGTCAGGGCTATATCATTCATTTCAATCTGAGACTTGCCCCTCTCTGATCAACTTAAGGTCACTTACCATCACACGCCAGTGTTCACCCACCCACCCAGTCCCACGTGTGGTAGCCAGACTGTTGAACTCAGCAGTCCTTTTATGCATTTCAGAGGGAGTATAAGGAAAGGTGTAAGATCCTGTAAGATCTCCCCAAGTAGTTATGAGCCTAAATACAGTAGGTTTTTGAGAAAACTAATGTTCTTCCATTACTTTGAACAACAGAATTTAAGCACTTTTCTAAAATTTCCTGCAAGCTTCTAGTTCAGTAATCAAACACTGCTGAATTTAGGCTCAGAATAATCACAAGAGACAGTATCTTATGCTAACTGTTCACATTTTATGTTACAAACACATCCTGGTACCAATATTCCATTAACATTATTTTAGCTGATTCCAGATACCTTCAGATTACAGTGGCTTCTTCTCCAACCCCAGGAGGAAGCATTACAGAAAACTTTTCACTTGTTTCGTGACAGACTGTCAACACTTCATCTGTAATGCACCTGTAAGATGAAAAGGAAGGGAATTGGAGTAGGTTTTCTATTGCTGTGCATTTTTTTTTTCCTTTTTTAGCCATAGCACTCCTGTGACATATAGCTGTTGCCAGTTTAGCACTAGAGAATTTCCAAATGCTTGACTGAACACAAGATGAGTAGCAAATCCTACTTCCTAATGACTGTGAAATCCTGAACAACCATTCGGAAAAGCTTGAGGTCACTCACCTTCCGCAGGCCAGGCCTGCGTCTGGAAGCTCATCCTTCTGGAGGCTCCTGCCCTCCATTGACGAAAGACTCCTCTGGAAGGGGCGGACGAACCACTTGCATCTTTCTGGTCCATCACTTCAACTGCTTCCTATGGCTCCCGGACCCCATGGGTGGGCTCTGGCTCCAGGAGAGCCTGCTCTCCAGCAGCAGGGATGCAGTCCCATAGGGCGCAGTGCAAGAGGCAGCCCCCTGCCCTACTAGGCCTCTTAACTGCGTTCTTTTGCTTTCCAGGTCAAAGTAGCGGCCGGGCAGGTTTAAGAAGTTCTTAATCGATTCCATGGTCAAAGATATGTCGGAGATGCTCAAATTGCCACGCACTGTGTGAGTGCCTTTGTAACACACACAAACACACTCGCACTCACTCTTGCCATCAGCGCTCCCCTTCGTGAGGGCACTTGTCACCACCGCTGCTCTTCAACCCGTGCCAGGAGGGAGCTTCACCCCACTTTGGAAGCGTTCCCAGACTTCCTCC